CCATCTTCAGCGCGTGCTCCATGCGCTCCGTGCGGCTGTAGAAGTAGATGTCGCGCAGGTTGAATGTCTCCTGGCTCCGCCTCCAGCACCTTGAGCACCTTGGCCGTGCGTGAGCGGTACCGCATCGACGATGAACTTGTGCATCTCAGATACGTCAAACTTGGCCCGGCTGCGCTCTGCCTGAAGCGCGTCGGCTGTCGACGGGTACATTGGCTCGAGTCCCTTGGGAATTTGCATGGTTTGTTATTAAAGTACAGATAAAAAGAAAGCTCGGGTTTATCTAGCAAAAAAGGGGAGGAAGAAATAACTGGGTTGTTTGTTTTTTGCTGTTCGAAAGAGGGCGTGCCCTGAGAAACGCGATGCTAAACCTTTTTATATGCATCTTCTGAGAAGCCCCACCCAAGGCGCATATGCAGACACGGAGCATGCCCAAACGCTTCCCGGAGGGCTGCGACCACGGCCGAGCTCCCCGAAGCTCCAACAAAAAACTCTCCGCATTCTCACTCTGTCCGACTGGTATAGGAAGATCTACACGTGACTGCTCCCGTTTTGACTGCTATTTCTCCAGTTGTCCTTCTTTCACAAGGACTGCCTGAAAGCGGAAAGACCCATGGGAGGGCTCAAACCAAATTCGGCCAAGCACGGGCTCACGAGCTGGCCCACGCTCCGCTCATGCTTATCTTTTTTCCTCTCGTCTACTCGGGCTCGGAGTTCGCTGGTTCGGGCGAAAAAGCCTTTCCGTTCTGTGGTAGATTTTTGCAGCATGCGCAAGGGGGTCGACACATGCCACGCATGCCACATAACTCCTGCATCGAGGCTTTGCCTTACCGGCCCGTTTTACAAAAACTATGCATTGACTTAAATCGGCCCAAACCCCCTCCCTCAAAAATCTGCATCGTCAGCTGAAATCGTCGTTGGCAGCTCAGGAATAATGATCAGCGATTCCGGCGACAATTCATACTTCCTGGCCAGCTTGACGAACCTTGCATACAGAAACGTCGCATTCTCCTGCACCTCAAAGATCTCGCGGTGGTGGAAATACGCGTGGGCAAAAATCCGATATATCCTTCTGGCCATGCTCTGGAAATGCTTCATCGACGTCTCGGCACATACAGCCGGCTCGGAAACGACCCCTGGTTGTTCAGCTGCCCGATCGCATAGTTCACCGTGTGCACAGAATACCCGATCGCGCTGCATGGCTTCGGGTGCCCATGCCCGGCGCAGAAATAGGTGTCTTCGTTAGCCCGCATCATCGGGCAGCCGGTCTCGGTGCACTCCCGGTGCATCTCCACTATGTACCAGCCAAGCTCTATGCAGATTTGCCGCATGTGCTCGTACAGCCAGACCGTCTTGTCCATGCCCACAGGCACCTGCAAAAGGTCGTCGATGTCGTACCGGTGCGTCCGCAGAAGTGATTGCAGGTACTCTTGGCCGGCCATCGATGAGTCGATCTCTGCGACACTATCGTACGACCACTTGAAGCAGTCCTACTTGAAGACTTTTATGCTGGTGTTAGCCCAATGGCAGTCTCACTCACAATTGAATGTGATTGCGAACCCGCTGATTGTCGGCTGTCATTTTCTTTTTCCTCCGCACCTCTTCTTTGGTTCCTGGTAGATTGATATTTTGCCGCTGGCTCGTTTGGTCGCCAATGCTTTCAACTGCTTGCGCTGCCATTAGGATACTATGTGAATATGTTTGTGAATGTGATAGCCATACATGGCGCCACCCGTGTACATGTATCCAACATATGCTTGGCGGCCAGATGCATTATTTATGGAATCACAACGACCATGTCATATGACCGACAATCGTCACAAAAAACATGCTAGGTCTACGACTGCCTGTGCTTGCGGTGCTCAGCATAGCTCCACAGATGCTGCAAGAACAGATTCCAATTGACCCCGAACGCGTCGTCAACATGGACGAACCGCACCCCCAGCTTCGTCTCGACCTCGGCATTCCTGGCCTCATCATCAAAGAATATCATCGCTCATACTCCACTCCCGAGTCCCTAGCCAGGTTCCGGAAATGCGTCACCTTTGAGCCCGGATAGATCTCCATGGAAGTCAATACATTCTATCATCTTTTTCTTCTTCACTCCAATGTCCGACTGGATCTCAAAGAGCGCCAGAACCTGCTTCGCCCACTCGGCGCGGTCCGGTCCGTGATGCTATGCCGATGCGCGTGTTGGGCAGCTGCATGATTAGGTCCAGCACTCGCGGTACATCCGAGAACAGCTCCATTGTGTCGCCATACCGGTCCTTCACCTTGTTGTTTGCTGCGAGCCGGTACGGCGGCCCGTTCGTGTGCGTATCAATCCAGCAGGACCACAGCGTGAAGTCGAGGTCGAATACGATTAGCTCAGGGAGAAACTCCGCCTCCTCTTTACGTGGGTCCCATCCAAGTGCCTCCAGCTCAGGGATGGGTGTGGGCTGGTGCAACTTTGACCTGCTCAAAAGCCGCGAATGTCTCGTCATTTGTCCAAAAAATAAAAATGTAGCAACAGTCCACGGTATGAAAAATGAATAAAAATAGCTGCGGTCCGGGACCTGAGGATTTTTAGTTCTTATTTAATTGGATTCTGTTGGCGTGGCACATGGCCCGCCTAATGATCCTGACTGATCTCTTGTTTCGGCCGACCGCTGGACCAGCTGCGCAAAATGGCTCTCTGGGTCATGGCGCAGGTTGTCTGGGGCTCCGGACTCACAGATCTTGCCATCCTCAACCACCAGGACCATGTCGCTGCCCAGCGCATTCTCCACCCGGTGTGCAATCGAGATGACAGTGCAGCCAGCAAACTCGTCGCGGATCAGCTGGTGTAGGAGATTGCTGGTCCCACTATCAATGGCTGCGGTGGACTCATCCAGCACAAGGACCTTTGGGCGCTTCAGTAGTGCCCGTGCCAGGCATATCTGCTGCTGTTGACCAACGCTCCATCCGCCGCCGTTCGGAAGCACGGGGCTGTCAAGAGCAACGTCCGACATGCCGACTGCTATCAGACAGCGTTGGATCTCTGAGTCAGCGTGCTTTCTGAACGGATCCAGGTTGTTGCGCACAGTGCCAGTCAACAGAACCGATGTCTGCGGCACGACTCCCAGATGGCTGCGCAGAGCATGTAAGTCAACAGTGCCAATGTCGACGCCATCGATCAGGATTCTGCCCTCACTGGGCTTGAGCAAGCCAAACAGCGCCATGGCAATGCTCGTCTTGCCCGCCCCCGTCCGTCCAACAACACTGACATGCTGCCCAGGTCTGATAGTGAACGACATCCCGCTGAGCGCACGCTTGCCATCGACACTGTACCGCGCAGTCACATTGTCAAATACAACCTGCCCCCTCGCCGGCCAGCTCTCACCCACCGGCTCGCACTTTGCTGTGTCTGCCTGCTCCGGCTCTAGCCTGCTGTAGTGAATGTAGCGCGCAGACTTTGCAATATTCTCTCGAATAAAGTAACTCTTGCGCACGAAATGCTGCATTCTGGATAGCAAAACCCCGTACACATATGCACCACTGCCAGGTTCTCCGGTTCCACGCTCATCCCACAAACAGCTGCTACTGTATATGCAACTGCATGCGCTACATCGCGTATCAACGACATGCTCATGTCAATCCACGTTTCCACACTATCCTCCGACCGAATCGCCCGTGACAGGTCGTCCAGCAATCCAAACATCTGCTGGTTGGCATACTGCTGGTTCGAGAACGCACGGATGGTCACGGCTCCCTTGATTGACTCTTGATACAGGTCATGGATCTTGATGTTGCTTTTGGACTTTGCCGCGACGAATGCCGTGAGCGGTCTGCTGCTAAGCCGGAAAATATACAGAATCAATCCAAACACCACCACAGTATATCCGAGCATGACTGGATGGAAACTGAAGACAACCCAGATCTCAAACACGAGCTGGATGATGTTCAGTATGGTGTCTGCTACATTCGCTGGCAGCATATTATCCACTTCAATTTGGCCGTCAGTAAATAGTCCAATAATGCGGCCAGCTGGTACAGCTGAGAAGAACTGCAGTGAGGCGCTGGCTACGCTTTGCATTAGCTCCCGGTGTGTCTTGATAAACATCGAACGCCGCCAAATAATCTTGGGCCACAACCTTCCGCCTAACTCGGCCATGCATTCAGCTGTCAGCCAGATCAGGCAGGTAATAAAGTGCACGTACGTCGGGCTGTAGCTGCTAGCCGAGGTGTGCGCGTCAGCATAGTCGGTTGAGATTATTGGGATAGGCTTCGATAGCCACAGCTTTGTGTTCTTGGCTACAAAAAATCGACCGACAGCTGCCACAACATGTCCCAGAATGGCCACAATGCCACACCGGCGCACGACATATCGCACTATAGTCACAAGTTGCGAGAATGATTCCCCATGCACCGGTTCATATGCGTCGTTACCTCGGTCACTGTTGCTCGTAGAACTGCCTGCTGGGTAATTTGAATGCGCACTTCTAGGGGCGTCAATAGCAATGATTCATCTGGAGATTCAGACAAGCGATGTGACTGCGAAGTCAGGGTACTACCAGCGATGGAATTCCAGGACCAGGTTTCTTGTTAAACCCTGATAGTGTGCGCAGTTCGTTGGACTGCGAGATGAGCGTGCCAAATGGGACTGGGCTGTGGATCTCGCCGTCGATAGCCAGGCTGACCGCATCTGCTCGCGCCAACACATTGACCTCGTTGGAGATGATGATACGCGATGTATGCTTGAGCAGGCCTGTTGCACTCGAGACAACGTTGGCAAACAGCCGGCTGCCCACATGCACGTCAACCGCCGAGAAAATGTTGTCGAGCAGATACAGCTCAGCCTTAGCATAGACTGCTCGTGCCAGAGCAATGCGCAGCCGCTGTCCGCCAGACAGTGCGATTCCGTTGTCTCCAACAACCGTCTGGTCGCCATCAGACATCCTGTCAAGGTCGTACTGCAGCTCGCATACGTCGATGACTCTGGCGTACCACTGGGGGTCAAGGTCCCTGCCGAAGGTGACATTGGCGCGAATTGTGCTGTTGCTGAGCCACGGCTCCTGCGACACGTATGCGATGCCAGAGGACGGTCGAAGCATCGTGCCGCTGATGTGGTCCATTTCGCCGAGGATCGCTGATAGCAGCGACGATTTGCAGGCGCCGACTTTGCCTGCCACTGCAATCATTTGGCCCGGCTCGCACTTGAAATTGACACGAATAGTGCCTCGGTTTGAGCCTGTGCTGCTGCCTTCTGGTGTGGAAGCTGCCCGCCATCTGAACACTCCCGAGGATATCTCGACTCTGTACTTTTCGTTGGACTCGCCAGCGGTGCGTGTCCCTTGAGTCATCAGGTCATCGGTTCCGCCAAGTAGCAAACTACGGACATGCTCACATGGCAGCTTTGCTGATATCCAGCTATCCCATGCTTTTGGAACATCGAGTAGTAACAAAAATAGCTCCTGTAATATCGCATGTACAAGGACAACATGCTCTGCTGAAATGTGCTCAACACCCGGTAGCCCACCGCTGCTGGGATCAGCTAGTCGGTTAACTACCATGCTGTAGATAAGCAACGAGATAACAGGACCGCTCTGAAGGCAGGTGGTATATACCACCTTCAACAACTCGTCCATAACGGTAGAAGAGATGGCTGAACCGAGCTCGTTTCCTTCGCGTATTGTCTGTATCTGCCGGACAAGATACCTTTCCCACCCGAGCATACGCAACGGAACAATATTCTCAATGAGCTGCGTCAATAGTGAGGTACGTCTGCTTGTCGCTGCCCCAGATGCCTTATTGTAGTCGTCAATTTTGTCCAGGATATGCACGCGCACTGGGAAGTACATCAGGATGGTAAATATGCCAACCGCAACAGCCCATCCAACCTGCGTGTAAAACATATAAACCCCGACTGCAACACGCAAGGGCAGCCATATGGACTCGCACAACCTGATAATATGCTCGGCGAGAACTTTCGAGCTCTGCATCCCACATAGCTGAAGATTTGTGCCCTCTGCTTCGGCTACCAGCGCAAGATTTGGTCTGTCGATCGCCTGCTTGTGGACGGACGCCGTCAAAACCGTGCGCAGCATCAGTTTGGTTGTGTCGCGGATATCAATCAGGTTCTGTTCTAGGATGGTGCTGCCAATCGACAGGGCATTATACGCGACCAGGATCCCATACACGCTACCAGATCCGTCAGTGTGGAGTTCGTGCAGTAAACGTGACAACAAAAGTGGTTTGGATATTCCACACATGCCAACAAGAAGGCGCAGCCCACTGGTAAGGAAAAGATCCGACGCAAAGGCATGTAGGATGGCGTGTACCAGAGATCGCCTTTTGCTACGGAGTTCATGCTGCCAACAGCTCGTCAGCCGAGCCAGCAAGGCTTCTGCCTTGAGGGTGTGTGTTAGTGAGATTTGACCAATGTCAACCTCTGGTGTCTCGCTCTCGGCGACAAGCAGTCGATAAACCCAGAAATAAGTGGCACGCGAAATCAGCGATCCAATTCTCCTCAGCCCGGCATCTTCCAACACACCCCCACTCGGAGTCCCACCCACCATTACTGAGCCCAGTGCACATTGCGTCCAGCACAGGTATACATCAAATATGACATTGGTGACGTCAATGACTGCCCAGCTTCCATGCCACAACGTGTGTGCCACCCGATAGACCGTCGCCACAAACGAAATTGCCAATAACAGTAGCGAGAATGCGCGAAGATGCAAACCAGCATCTGCAGACACACTGCGTAAATGTTGTGCTGGACCCAGTAGCACATAACCGCGAATTGCCGCAAGAGAGGCACTCTGCAATCCAAGGATGATTAGAGCGTCTGCATCAAAGATAGATGCTGACACGATATGTGCAATTTCAGCGACAATAACGAGCATCATCAGCGGTATACCACGTCCCTAATCATATGTACGTTGACAGATTAGTACATATACCCCCATCCTAATGTTAGCCATCAGGATGACAACCTAACACGCTTTGATCTGCGATGTTATAGCCTACTTTTACATAGACACGCAGTTAATTGAATCCCATGCACATATCCTGCATTGAGTGTGAAAAAGGGGCGCCTTCCCCCTCCCCAAACGATGCACAACACTCATGCATGCATACGCTGAGGAAGATGTGTCAAAGCGAGCATTCTCCCATTAGCCCAATTTTTCAGTTGGATGTGCAGACTGTGAACTCCCTTTCGTGTATGTGAAAATCCTGACATCCAGCCGCCAAAAGTCATTCCAAAGTTGTACTTACAATATTGGCTACCCTTGTATTCGCCCTGGGTTCGCTGACTCCTCGTTTGGATTGCTCTTTCCAGGCAATTCTGTGCTTGACGACCACTATAAGTTGTGCACAGAGCGCGATAAAAATCGTCCCGCTATACAAAGAAAACGAGTACATCATGTTCAGTTTCAGCTCGTCGTGTTGTGCTGGAGGAGAATGGAATGTGGCCGTAGAAAGTTTTGGACAGGATGCCGTGTACAGAGCCGTCCTAGCACGATTATAAAACAACAAGGTGGTGACTAGACTGAAGACACCTCCTGGTTTGGTATATGATTAACAAGTGCAAAATGAGGACTCCAAAAAGAGGGACAATGTTTAGATAGCTGTGTCAAAGATAAGGATGTGCGCAAAGATGGCCACCAACGGTGATTTGCACTGCCGCTAATGCAAGGCCAGGTCTACGATATTAAAAGGCGGAGTTTAAAAAGAATTGCACTAGGGAATTATTTTGCAGAAGAAAACAAGCATCAGCAGTAGTGAGAAGAGAAAAGGGAGTAGGACGGGTTTCTGAGGGTAACTGCTGTGCGTGCTCCTTGAGCCCTGCTGCCATTATCTGTGCTGTCAGGTGCAAAACAAACGATAGCGGCTTCAACAATTATAGACATAATACAGTC